TTTGGGGTGGAGTAACCCTTTAAAAGAAGGCTATCACAAACATTATAAATTAAAACTTGGGTCACCACTAAAGAAACAATCGATTCTCCTGCCTTTTCTTTTGCATTTAAATCTTTATTACAAGCAATCTTGCGGGTCTTAAAGAACTTTGTTTTTCTACCACCACAAGTACATCTATTATGTTGCCTTGTTTATCTAAAAGTGCACGTTTCCTTGTTTTAAACCTAGCCAAAAAGCCATGTGTTGACTGTGAAACACAGTAGACTTTAATTATATCAATTTATTGTGAAATGACTACATTTCCGTGCAGAGCCGATCCTCCCTATATGCAAAATACGCAAGCTGCGTAGGACCCCCGAAACACCAGGGGGCCCCCTTGCTCTAAAAGATTATTTAATTTTAGTTCCGTTTTTGAATTTGGCCAGCGATTATGAAAACATGAATGATCATGTATTTTAATGCGGTGCGCTGTCGCCGTTTCAACAGTCATGGCCAAAAGTTTTGGCAGTGACATAAATGTTGTGCTTTGCAAAGTTTGCTGCTTCAGTATTTGTAGATTATTTTCCCACATATTTCTATGGTATACTGAAAAACAACGATAAGCATATCATAAGTTTTAAAAAAAAATTTGGCAAAAAAATATAATGAGTCAATATTTACAGTGTTGACCCTTGTTTCTTCATAACCTCTGCAATTCACTCTGGCATGCTGGATATTAGCTTCTGGGCAAAATCCTGACTGATGGCGATCCATTCTTGCCTTATTAGTTCTCGGAGTTGATCACAATTTGTGGGCTTCTGCTTGTCCACTCACCTTTTGAGGACTGACCACAGGTTCTCTATGGGATTGAGATCCGGGGAGTTACCTGACCAAGTATCCAAAATTTTAATGTAATCATCTTCGAGCCACTTCTTTATCCCTCTTGCTTTGTGACATGGTGCTCCATCATGCTGGAAAATGCACGGATCATCACCAAATTGCTCATGTGATCATTGGAAGAAGTCACTCTTGCAGGACGTTTTGATACCATTCTTTATTCATGGCAGTGATTCTGGGCAGAATTATGAGAGAGCCCACTCCCTTGGTTGAAAAGCAACCCCACACATGAATGGTCTCAGGATTCTTCACTGTTGGCACAACACAGGACTCATGGTAGCGTTCACCTTTTCTTCTCCGAACAATTGATTTTCCAGATGTCCCAGCAGTCTGAAGGGAGCTTCATCAAAGAAAATAACTTTGCACCAGTCTTTTGCTGCCCAATCCTTGTACTTCCTGCAGAAGTTCAGTCTGTCCTTGACGTTTTTCTTGGAGAGAAGTGGCTTCTTTGCTGCCCTTCTTAACACCAGGTCATTGTCCAAAAGTTTTGGCCTCACTGTGCGTGCAGATGCTCTCACACCAACTTGCTGCCATTCCTGAGCAAGCTCTGCACTGGTGGTGACACAATTCCGTAGCTGACTCCTCAGAGGAGACGTCCTGGTGCTTGCTGGACACTCTGGGACATCCTTAAGACTTCTTCACTGCAGTCAAACCTCTCTCCTTGAAGTTCTTGATGATCCGGTAAATGGTTCTTTCAGGTGCAATATTCTTTGTAGCAATTCATTGCATGTGAGGTCATTTTGATGCAAAGCGATGATGGCTGCATGTGTTTCTTTGGAGGTAACCATTGCTAACAAGAACACAATGATTGGAAGTGCCTTCTCCCTCCTTCTATAGCAATCAGTCTGCTTTTACAATCTAATTAGTATGTGTCAGTAATAAACAAAGGTCCCTATAGATTCTCTTTGCCACCTGGAAAATTCTCAGTCCCTTAAAGTGTATAACGGCCGGGAAGCAAGAAAACACACATCAAATTGTATTCTCAATACTTCAACTTTATTCATAGATACAAATATATTATATAGGCATATGTCGAGGGGAGTTTCAACCCTTTAAACAATGAGGATATAGATGACATACATATAGGATTTTGGCCAAGAAATATAAATATAATAGAATATAAAATGGCCACATGTACAGGAAAGTATGGACATATTAGGAATAAACTTGGCGAAGGATGCTGAACTATCTCCATAGTTCAGCACGAACCCCATTACCTTGGAGTCCTAGCTTTAGTGTCCTCGTTTGAACATTTGAACCAAGAAAAGCTAATGCATACATGTGTGCATGTGTACCTCGAATATGAGTAAGAGATATTAATACATAATACAAGAGAGAGAGAGAACAGATAGAGGAGGGGGAAATCAGAAGGAAGACAACAGTGCTGTACAGGGAGGGCGAGCAGAGAGGGAGAGGAAAGAAAAGGAGGGGGAAAACATCTGGAACCAATACAGACAGAGAGTCTTTTCTAACAGTATGATAGTGATTAACCTGACTAGTACTCATTCACACTTTCACATGTGCTGCTGATATGATTAGTCAATTAATGTTAGCTGGCAATTTTGTGTGAGGATCAAAAAACATTGAAATTAGTTTTTTTGTGAAAAGTAATTTTTTTGGCCAATGAAGCTTTTAGCAATTATTTTAAATGCATCTGATCACTCTACACATACCTAAAATACATATTTTACACCGTTATGCAGATCATAAACACAGCTAAAAGGCCTGCCATCCTTCACAAAACTTAACATTTACCAGTTTTATCATGGGCAGAATGCAAAATGTTTTAATACAAGCATTTCAGTCAAATGTAATTTATGCAGTATTTCACCTTTAACCCACGGGAGAAAATCAACCCTCAGTTTAAAATCAGTTTAATTCCGTGCAAAACATTTGGATTTGGCAACCCTGCATCCAACACGAGCTGCATACAAAGTGATTTAAATACTCTGCATATTCATAGAGGAAGTATGCTCCCTGATGCGTGAAAATTATATCCAATATTAGAATGTTCGTGGGAGCAGGCCAGAAATTTAGCGGGAGCGGGATTAAGAAAACTTTAATACAAAAATGCACACAATGAATGGCGACTGAATCCAGGGGCATACATTTTGTTGGGGGAGACAATAAACATAAAATTTCTCAAGAGCAATTTTTGAAGGGGACACAAATAAAACAGCTAAAATTGTACTTGTAAGGACATGTATACACAGAGGAAAGCCTTACTACTATTAGTGCAGCAGGGAGACCATGCCAAATTAGACAACTTCAAGCTGTTGTGGTCGCGCCGTGACAACACTCGTGTCCGTTGTAGACATTACTTTCTGTCACAGTGTTGCCAAGTCCCCTTGGCTACTTTATCACTGTTGCTGCAAGTTGTTTTTCATGTCCGCGGGCTGAAGTGACCCCAATAACGTGTATTTTAGCCCCCGGAACGCGATTTTTACAGGGGGACCCCCCTCAAAACACAGTTTGTTTGGGCTAATTTTGAGTAGCAATTGGGCAGGTTTTGATTTGAAAACCTGGCAACCCTTTCCATCAAGCAGGTAATGTCTTACTGGACCCCAGTCCAATTCAGAACCATCCTCAAGGACCCCCAGAACAAAATTGACTCATCTATGTATCATTTGTGTCTTTGTGAGGACCAAATGCAGTAAAGTATAATTCAAGTTAGCTGACTTGTCCAGTATTTGGCCATATCATCAACTATATTGGATTTTTCTTTCATGGGAACATGTCATGTCAAAATATACAAAATGTATTTTAAAAAATCATACTTTATACGGACCCCCTGGCCTTACGTCAAGGACCACTAGGGGTCCATGGACCCCTGGTTGAGTCTTTTTCATTCCTCAACCTTTGACGTGTGCAATCAATGTTGTGATCACTTGTTGGTTCGTCCGTGCAGAGTATGATCACACCAGTGTGAATTGAACATTTAAATTTGCGTTCACGCTGACGTTGACCTAAAGAGAGCAGCTGTCTGTCATGAATGAAACAGCTTCACAGTCTTTTCAGCCACACAGTATCATTATTTCTGTGTTACAAACATTCAAATCACAGAAGTACTGGGATAAATGTTTATAGTTCAGATATAAACTGTGTGTACGATGTGTATGGTAGCGATTAAAATAGAGTAAATCACCTTTTGAGAGTAATTTGACACTTCAAATGAAGATTATCCTTTACATTGTTTCACCAGTAGGTGGCGAAAAGGGGCTGCTAAAATTTATTTGTCTTTGAATCATACAAGAGATTCGTTCAAGAACGCGGATTCATCCAGTAATGAAACAAGTACATCTTGAGTGAGTCATTTAATCATTAATTCATAAATTACATGTGATTTTGTTCAGTTGTCTAATGTTTTTTCTTCAAAATCATGAGAGAACCACAACTTCCATTGAGGGGAAAAAAATAATAAGAAAAAAAAACTCAATTTATCCAGAATCATGCAGTTCCATTTTGCACACAAACAGCTCTTAAAGAGTCCAGTTTTTATGTAGTCTGTTGATTTTTGTTTGTGGTGTTCAGCTCCAATAAATGGTTTGCAAAAAAGAGACACAGGATAAATGTTTGATATCATTATTTAATCACATTAGAATGGAAACTGGGAATCGAAAAGAATCGGAATCGATAAGCAGAATCGGAATCGGAATTGATCAAATTCAAACGATACCCAAACCTCATAGCAACCATACCAACATACCAAACATTGCCAAACATACAACATGCAAAAAAAATAAAACCACTGCAATAATGATTCAGTTTTAAAATCTTAAGTTTTTGCTTATTTGCTTTAAATTCAGACAGTGACTTTATTATTTTAATTTTTTATTTTATTTTATTTATTATTTTTTTGGCCAGGCAGTATATACAGTACATATAAATTGCAAGTATACTGCAAAGTAAAATTGAATACAGCGATCGTACATAAAATTATGTATTAATATAAGTTACAATGATTATTCAGGTTAGAATTTTATCTAAAAAACCTCATTATGGCCTGTTTTTCCCCTTTACCTGTAGAACTTGTGAAGAACATTTTTAAACTGTGTATGTGTGTTAGTCTGATTCAGGGAAGACCTCCTGAACACAGCTGTTTGTCTATGAAGAGTGAAGCATCAATGGGCGACCCACCTGAAATAAATGAGACAGACTCTCCTGTTGATCTGAGGTGAGGACAGTTTAGGGCAGGGTGATCCAATCCTGCTCCTAGGGGTCCGCCTTCCTGTAGAAGTTAGCGTCACCCCTAATACCATTGCAGTAGTTCAAAGAGTTGAGCATGGTGCTAGCAACGCTAGCATTATTCCCAGGGAATACATGAACTGATCAAATGTATTTCTAGAATGCAATGTAAAGCACTTTGGATAAAATTGTCTGCCAAATGTGTATATGTAATTATTTAATACACCTGAACCAACTAATTAAGGACCTTACAATTTCTTGAAACATCCAGGAAGGTTGGAGTTCCCTTCCAGGAGCAGGATTTGACACCCTGAATTAGATGATTAAGTAGGTTCGTGGTTGTGTTATAACAACTAAATTATCAAATATTTCCATTTATTTACCCTAAATACAAATATGGTTGTTCTTAAACTTATGTTGTTAAACTTATTTCAACAACCAACAGAGACCAACAGGATGAATCACTGTCAGAATCAAACTCCACTGGACAGAAGCAGTTGGACTCGATTTTTAAGGTTGGAGTGTTTTTGTGTATGTCTCTCTATCCGAATATCATAGAACAGTGGTTTTCAACCACGTTACTATAGCCCCCCAACACTGCACATTTTGCATGTCTCCTTTGTCTGACACACCCATTTCAGGTTTTGGAGTCTCTACTAATGAGCTGATGTCCTGAAGCAGGTGTGTTTGATTAAGGAGATATGTCAAATGTGCAGTGTTGGGGGTCTCCAATAACAGGGTTGAGAACCACTGACCTAGAACACTAATCTGTTCAGGGGTGTCCAATCCTGCTCCTGGATGGCCACTGTCCTGCAGAGTTCAGCTCCAACCCAAATGAAACACATCTGAACCAGCTAATCAAGGTTTTACTAGGCATACTAGAAACTTCCAGGCAGGTGTGTTGAGGCGAGTTGGAGCTAAACTCTGCAGGACACCGGCCCTCCAGCACCGAGTTTGGACCCCCCTGAATACGTTTATTGTGTATTCATTGTCCTCTGTATCCTGCTGCCTTTTGTAAATTTCTAGAAAGCAAAATGAGCTTCCTTATGGACAGAGCTATCCATGATACTGATTTATTTTCTCTGAAAGTTTGAATTTGTTAAACCCTGGCTTATTTGATGCTGCTTATTTGTCAACTGTGGTATCGGTTTAATGTTGATACTGAGGTATTGGATTCTGGTATTGTACTGAAGCCAAAATTGTGGTATCGAGCCATCCCTACAAGGTAGGTATGTTCCATCGGCTCTTTAGAGTACTACACTGCTCTTTTGTTCAGTAAATCCTGTTTTTTCCATAGTGGATGGAGAATTTTTTTTACAAGTGACGTGACGTGTGGCCAAGTATGGTGTCCCATACTCAGATTTTTTGCTCTGCATTTAACCCATCCAAGTGCACACACAGTAGTGAACCCACACCCAGAGCAATGGGTAGCCATATTTGCTGCGGCACCCAGGGAGCAATTGGGGATTCGGTGCCTTGCTCAAGGGCACATCAGTTGTGGTATTGAGGGTTGAAGAGAGCGCTGTTCACTCACTCCTCCGACCTACAATTCCTACTGGTACTAAAACTTGAACCCATCATCCTCGGGTTATAAGTCTGACTCTCTAACCATTAGACCATGACTACCCTTAAAAAGCAACAACCAAAAAGCAAAGCATCTGAGTCCAGCAGACAGAGGCCCAGGTACTTATTTAAACTAGCATTGGGACATTTTGAATTGTTGGGTTCAGCAAAGATGCAATTGTAATTTTCTTTACATGGATCTTTTGGGTCTTGGTCTCCCTATTATGAGACAGAGTATTGTCAACAACATCTAGTCAGTTTATGTATGACACCTGTGGTCGGCTGTGCCTCGAGGATGCATGAAAGGATCGAAGCACCTTATTGATATCTTCTGGCTCATAAATGTCGTAACTGTAGATTCTGCTGTTTGAGGCTTTACAGAAGTTTGTTGATTGAATGCTCTCTGTCAACACCAATTTCAGGAGCTTGAACACAAAATAATCTTTCTGACAAAGAAAGAGCTGAAGAGGATCAAAGGAGCTCTGAGCCCAGATTACTCCGCATGCTCTGAGAGAGAGGAGAAGGAGGAGGTGGATGAAGGTGAAAGCAGAGTCAGACAGGGGCTTCTGCAGATCACCCTGAATGTCCTGAGGAGGATGAACAAGACAAACCTTGTTAACATACTACAGACCAGTAAGAGCTCTGAGTCATATTACCATGACGTAAACATACAAATCATTTGGGAGATTTTAGGATTTAAAGAATTGGCAACTATGAATGAAATACAGCAGCTGTTTATACATAGCTGTTGATAAGAGGAGAGTCTAAACAGTAAAATCAGGTGTTTTAATCATTTTTCTTAGACATTTAGCTGTATTGTTTAAGCATTTAAGTACATTGTAGTACAATCCACTGACAAGCTGTTTATACATAGCTGTTGATAAGAGGAGAGTCTAAACAGTAAAATCAGGTGTTTTATCATTTTTCTTAGACATTTAGCTGTATTGTTTAAGCATTTAAGTACATTGTAGTACAATCCACTGACACTTTACATATTACATGGAAATTATGATTTGATCCATGCATTTATTTGTTGTTTGTGAATAACTCATTTATTTTGATTCCCATTTTCCTCTGCTCCTTAGGACTTGCCCCTTTTTATGTGAAGCAACACAAATCCAGACTAAAGGAGAAATTTCAGAGAATTCATGAAGGAATATCAAATCAAGGCATCTCCACATCTCTGCATGAGATCTACACAGAGCTGTACATCACAGAGGGAGGGAGTGGAGAGGTCAGTAATGAACATGAGGTGAGACAGATTGAGACACAATCCAGGAGACCAGAGACACAGGAAAGACCAATCAAATGCAATGACATATTTAAGCCTTTACCTAGACAAAACAAATCCATCAGAACTGTGCTGACTAAAGGAGTTGCTGGAATTGGAAAAACAGTTTCAGTGCAGAAGTTCGTTCTGGACTGGACTGAAGGAAAAGCAAATCAGGATCTCCACTTCATTTTCCCACTTCCTTTTAGAGAGCTGAATTTAATAAAGGAGAGCAATCTCAGTTTGATTAACCTGATTCATCATTTTTTCACACATACAAATAAATTGAGCTCATCAAACATTGATGACTTCACAGTCCTGTTTATCTTTGATGGCCTGGATGAGTGTCGACTCCCTCTGGATTTTCAGAACAATGATATTTTATGTGATGTGACAGAATCAGCCTCATTGGATGGGCTGCTGACAAACCTCATCAAGGGGAATCTGCTTCCTTCTGCTCTCTTCTGGATCACCTCTCGACCAGCAGCCGCCAGTCAGATCCCTCCTGAATGTGTTGACCAGGTCACAGATGTACGAGGGTTCAATGATCCTCAGAAGGATGAGTATTTCAGGAAGAAGATAAATGATCAGAGTCTAGCCAGTAAAATCATTGCACACATCAAATCATCAAGAAGCCTGCACATCATGTGTCACATCCCAGTCTTCTGCTGGATTTCAGCTACTGTTCTGGAGAGAATATTGAGTGAAGCAGAGAGTGCAGAGATCCCCAAGACTCTCACTCAAATGTTCACACACTTCCTGATCTTTCAGCTCAAACTGAAATCCCTGAAGTACGATGGGAAATGTGACGTTAATCTTAAACAGGCCAGAAGTAATATCCTGTCACTGGGAAAACTGGCTTTTCAACAGCTGGAAAAAGGGAACCTGGTCTTCTATGAGGAAGACCTGAGAAAGTGTGGCATTGATGTCAGAGATGCATCAGTGTATTCAGGAGTTTGTACCCAAATCTTCAGAGAGGAGTTTGGGCTGTACCTAGGGAAGGTGTACAGCTTTGTACATCTGAGCATCCAGGAGTTTCTTGCTGCTTTATATGTGTTTCTTTGCTTTTTTAAACAAACAGGATTTGTTAGCATGTTCAGATCATCTTTGACTGATTCACTTAAGAGTGAAGTGGACAAGGCCTTACAGAGTGAAAATGGTCACCTTGATCTTTTCCTTAGATTCCTTTTGGGTCTCTCACTGGAGTCCAATCACACTCTCTTACGAGGTCTACTGAAAAAGACAAGAATCGGATCTCGCAGTGAACAGGAAATAGTTGAGTACATTAAGATGAAGATCAGGGAGAATTCCTCTTCAGAGAAATCCATCAATCTGTTCCACTGTCTGAATGAACTGAATGATGATTCTCTAGTGCAGGAAGTCCAAATATACCTGAGCACAACTGGTGACAGTCAACTCTCTGCGGTTAAACTGTCTCCTTCTCAGTGGTCAGCTCTGGTGTTTGTGCTGCTGACCTCAGAAGAGAAGCTGGATGACTTTAAACTGCGTAAATATCATAAATCAGAGGAATGTCTTCTGAGTCTGCTGCCAGTAATAAAAGCATCTACAAAAGCTGAGTGAGTATTTTACAGTGTTGAATATTGTACTGCAGTGATAATAATGAAGTTTTACAAATGGCCAAGACCAGTGGTTCTTAATCCTGGTCCTGGGGACCCCCGCTCTGCACATTTTGTATGTCTCCCTTATCTGACACACTCATGCTGCATCCCAATGTGCCTACTTATACTACACCCTTAAACTATGTACTCTTTTGGTGAAGAAAAAGTACACACTTTTGAGTGTGTAGTAGAAGAGTGCGCAAGCTTTGGGACGTACTATGACATCATACAATTGCATCTTTAATGGACTGCTCTGTCGCATAGTTACACACACCCTGTTACTGTAAACTGGCCTGTCAATCATCTTGTCACAATTAACATCCTCCACATATCAAGAAGCCTGCACATCATGTGTCACATCCCAGTCTTCTGCTGGATTTCAGCTACTGTTCTGGAGAGAATATTGAGTGAAGCAGAGAGTGCAGAGATCCCCAAGACTCTCACTCAAATGTTCACACACTTCCTGATCTTTCAGCTCAAACTGAAATCCCTGAAGTACGATGGGAAATGTGACGTTAATCTTAAACAGGCCAGAAGTAATATCCTGTCACTGGGAAAACTGGCTTTTCAACAGCTGGAAAAAGGGAACCTGGTCTTCTATGAGGAAGACCTGAGAAAGTGTGGCATTGATGTCAGAGATGCATCAGTGTATTCAGGAGTTTGTACCCAAATCTTCAGAGAGGAGTTTGGGCTGTACCTAGGGAAGGTGTACAGCTTTGTACATCTGAGCATCCAGGAGTTTCTTGCTGCTTTATATGTGTTTCTTTGCTTTTTTAAACAAACAGGATTTGTTAGCATGTTCAGATCATCTTTGACTGATTCACTTAAGAGTGAAGTGGACAAGGCCTTACAGAGTGAAAATGGTCACCTTGATCTTTTCCTTAGATTCCTTTTGGGTCTCTCACTGGAGTCCAATCACACTCTCTTACGAGGTCTACTGAAAAAGACAAGAATCGGATCTCGCAGTGAACAGGAAATAGTTGAGTACATTAAGATGAAGATCAGGGAGAATTCCTCTTCAGAGAAATCCATCAATCTGTTCCACTGTCTGAATGAACTGAATGATGATTCTCTAGTGCAGGAAGTCCAAATATACCTGAGCACAACTGGTGACAGTCAACTCTCTGCGGTTAAACTGTCTCCTTCTCAGTGGTCAGCTCTGGTGTTTGTGCTGCTGACCTCAGAAGAGAAGCTGGATGACTTTAAACTGCGTAAATATCATAAATCAGAGGAATGTCTTCTGAGTCTGCTGCCAGTAATAAAAGCATCTACAAAAGCTGAGTGAGTATTTTACAGTGTTGAATATTGTACTGCAGTGATAATAATGAAGTTTTACAAATGGCCAAGACCAGTGGTTCTTAATCCTGGTCCTGGGGACCCCCGCTCTGCACATTTTGTATGTCTCCCTTATCTGACACACTCATGCTGCATCCCAATGTGCCTACTTATACTACACCCTTAAACTATGTACTCTTTTGGTGAAGAAAAAGTACACACTTTTGAGTGTGTAGTAGAAGAGTGCGCAAGCTTTGGGACGTACTATGACATCATACAATTGCATCTTTAATGGACTGCTCTGTCGCATAGTTACACACACCCTGTTACTGTAAACTGGCCTGTCAATCATCTTGTCACAATTAACATCCTCCACATTTCATTTCATTTAACTTCCTACCATATCGGAGAGAAAAGAAGTAGAACGTAGATCTGCCAGCCGAAAGTCATTCATGCGGAGCACTCTGCTCATATTTTTTGCATAATGATGCATTTAAAAGTTAACGACCAAATGGATATTTATAAAAGTTCACTCACGTTTTTGCAGATGAAATATGACACAGGAAACATTAAATATTTTTACCAGATCAAATGTTGATTATTAGTAACTCAAACCCCTTTACCTAAACCTCTCTACTTAACAGTCGATTGTGCACATCTGCCATGTTTTTTAAAGCTTTTTATTCGTGTTTGTAGTTCTGAACCAAATCCTATGCTAACATACTATGCTTTGGGACACACTTATTCTAATCTCACATACTATTTAGGATGGATAGTATAAACATTGGGACGCAGGGTCAGTTCAGTTCATGGAGCTCTCTCCTAGCAAGCTGATAATCTCAGTCAGGTGTGTTGGATAAGGAAAACATGCAAAATGTGCAGATCAGGGGGTCCTCAGGACCAGAATTAAGAACCACTGGCCAAGATACATTTCCAGAAACATACACAATTCTAAATTGAGTTAAAATTAAGCTGTAACAATAAAACATGTCCATCAGTTTAAGCTTTGTGCATGCATTTTTTGTAACTCAAATTTTAACTTAATTTTGTACTTATTTTTTTAAATACTGCTATAGTGCTATGTGCATATTAAACACTTTCACAATTGTCCAATTTACCTTATACACTCCCATTGTGTGCAATCTTTATGGGTCCAGTTGAAGTAAATGGGATGAGTTGCATTAATTGATAATGGTCTTTTGTAAGATAATGTTTTTTTTACAATTTGGTAGAAGTTTTTTTAATTGTTTTAAATATTAGATATCAAATCTGAATCTGCTGATTCAGATGACACCTTTCATCAGTCATACATTAATTCAATGACAAATCAAAACACAACCTGTTTTTGCTTTTTACAAAATGTTTTAAAAATCAACTAAAACATTTATCACACCAATAGTGTTCATAGATAAAATATCAAGAGTGAAAGAAATATTTAATCTTTTTGAAAATGGAAAATAGAATGGGTTTAAATTTGTAAGTAACTGAGTCAAACTGTGATAGTTTACTTAATATTTTACAATTTTATATTGTTAACTTTTTTTACTGTTTACAATTTATATACTAACATTTTATACTGTTTACACTTACATAAGTAAAATAACACAAGATGCCTATGTTATAATTTCCAGTCTGAGACGCTGCAATCTCATGGAGAAAAGCTGTTCAGCTCTGGCCTCAGTTCTCAACTCAAATAGCTCAAATCTGAATGAGCTGAACCTGAGTTACAACAATTTGCTGGATTCAGGAGTGAAGCTGCTCTCAGCTGGACTAATGAGTCCTCAGTGTAAACTGAAGACATTACAGTAAGAAATAATGAAACCATTTTAAAAGAGAATACACTCAGTGTTCACTGTATTAGATATACCTGTACTCCTGTTTGCTAATGCATGTCACACAAGCACTGTATTAAGCAGTAGATAAAGTATTAAATGAAAATTGTTTCTGTCGCTACATGAAAATATCTGAAAAGTCTGTGTGTTTGATCATCAGTTATAAAGTATGCAAAAACAATGCACACATTATTATGGAAAGAAGCAGAAATATGTCGCAGTCACTGGATCTCAGTATTCAGATCAGGTCTTCAGATTTGATTATCTAGGCAGCATTCCATAAGTGCATTTATATAGTTCACACATTGTTAGATTACTGAACGGAAAAATGTATTCAACCCATGAAACCACTTTGGCATCCAAGTAGAGCTGTACTTACAAAAAAAAAAAAATCGGATTATTTTTTTTTTTACTCAAATCTGACAGAGATCATATATTGTTGCATACATGTAAAAAATCAGCACAAGATTTTTGTGTCTGTTCTGAAGCACTTACAAATGTGGCTTTAAATCAGAAAAATATCAGGTATCTGGACATCTGACTTACATATAAACACATACAGTACGTCTGATTCCCCTTGGAATTCCAAGCCACCACAACGTGAGGCCGACATGTTTGCAGATGAGATGGCTTTTCTTCATGTTCTTCTGCACTTGGACAGGAACTCACAGCTTATTTCATTGTGGCAGAAATTTTATATATAATCTCTTTCTCTTGCAATTTCATTCGTACAAATAAAAGTATTCTTACTGCGCTATTTTATTTAACTTCAGAATTCTCATCACACAACCCGTAGATGAAATAGGTAATGAAAGCCATTAATTTGAATAAAGCCTGTATCTGTATATTAATGACTATCTATAGTCACACTGCACTCTGCAGACATTATCCAACAACTAAGAATAATAACAAATATCTTTAACTAATCAATAATAATAATGACAACAACAAACTAAAAATAAACAAATAACAGCTTTAACTTGTCTGTGCTGGCAAGTGATCATGGTACATATATGATAATCCACATCTAGGGGTGCATTCAAATCAAAGAAGCACCCAATGTGAATTATATAGATTATCATTATTAGTTTTAAATATCGCTGCCATTCAAAACGGTGTCACTTACAGTGATCAACAGTGGGATTCTTTTAGTTTAGGGATTAATGCAAGCACAGACATCGGAAATGAATCGTGTCCTAGTGAATGTAATATCTGTGTTCAGTGCTGGCTCCTTTTATCTTCAATAGTCAATAAAATTGCATCCTGCAACAGCTCTGGTCCATTCAATCTAGTTCTGAGAGGAGGTTTAAAGTCACATAGTAAAGTTTTAATAAAATATATAAATTAAATATATGCATACATATAAATGAATTAAAAATATTGAAAACACACACACACACAAACACACACATACACACAAAACATCACACAATATGTATTGTACTCAAAAAGATCAATATGATAAATATGTGAGTTTTTCTCCTTTTCACCACAGGCTGTGTAACTGTAGTTTTGGAGAGGAAGGTTGTTCTGTTCTGGCTTCAGCTCTGAGATCAAACCCCTCACACCTGAGAGAACTAGATTTGAATGATAACTATCCAGGACAATCAGGAATGAAGCTGCTTTCTGATCTACTGCAGGATCCACTCTGTCAACTGAAAAAACTAGGGTGAGTAATATCGATTACAACACAAGTGAATATATTTAGCTTCATTGTTATGTTCTTTTGTAATATAATTTTTAAGAAAGCTCAGCCTTTGCCTATTAGCATGTGGAAATTGTTGATTCTTGTAATAGCAATTTGAAATTGTAGATTCTTGTAATAGGAAATTGTCAGCTTGTAATAGGAATTATGAGCCAAATGGACTAAGAGCAAGTTATGAGCTTTCTATCATTTTCAACCATTCTAAAAACATAGGTTACACTACATGCTCATAAATAAATGCACTTACATAAACCTACACACACTCTAATTGTTATTGAAGAATGCCACACTGAAAAAGGCCATACTGTTCTCTGCTCTTTCAATCCTTTGCCACACAATATGCCAATCTGCCACTCAGGACCTCCTGAGAGTTCAAACTCACACCAAATGTGCCCATCATAACACAACTTTTTTATATATATAAATATATTCTTTCCTCAGGATGTGTAACTGTAGTATTGGAGAGGAAGGTTGTGCTGCTCTGACATCAGCTCTGAAATCAAACCCGTCACACCTGAGAGAACTGGATCTAAGCTATAATAAACTAGGAGACTCAGGAGTGAAGCTGCTCTCTGATCTACTGCAGGATCCACACTGTAAACTGGAGACATTACAGTGAGTTATTTTAGCATATTTTTAAAGCTATTTCCTTTTACTCATCATTCTAGTTTTGCTTATATAATATAGATGATTTAAAATTAGGGATACACCGATACCACTTTTTCCAGTACTCGCCCGATACTGATACTTTTATTTTTGGTACTTGCCGATACCGAGTACCCATACCAATATTTTTATTGCATTTGTACATTTTTTAAATATTGGGTACAGAAACCAAAAGAGTATGTATAATGTTAGTTGGTTAACCAAAAATTAGACAGCTGTTAGTATGACAGTATTTACACAACTATCAATACTTAGTCGTGCAACCTTTAGCCTTAATGACAGCCTGTAGTCTCCTGGGCATGCTGTCACCCAGCTTCATGCAAACCTGAACCTCAATGTTTTTTCCCAGACTCGGTCTGAATAATTTTTGGTCCCAAATTTGTATCAGTTTTACTGATTGTCCACTGTATGAAGAATTTTTGGGTATAATTTGTTTATAAACAGTTTACTTTATTTTGCTATCCTCACTTACATAAATTAACTATAGTGTCCTGCACCCGCTAGTAAAAAAATATAAAAAATTATATCTGGTCTCTGAATAATTTTTGGTTTGACTATATCCTTCGGTTATTTTCACACTTAATTA